GAATATTCATTTGTTACTAGGGTTTACATCCAGCAGACCCATGCATTTATTGGTAAAACGTTTGTCTCATTTTTGCGATTAGTTTGCAGTTGATTTTCAAGTTAGATGCATGTTTTGCTAAGATTTTATTAATTTATCACCAAGTGTAAGTCACTCAAAAGTTTTTAGTCATCAACTTCCACCCATACATTTTGAGGGACTGACATATAACCTAAAAGCAAAATGAACATCTTTTACTCAGATAACAAAAATTCCAATGCTTTCATCTTCATGAAGTTTCGCACCATATTCATGGTATCATAGATAAGATGTAAGAAAATTCTGTTTTGATTGAATAAAGATAAACCTAGTCCCTGATAAGACTAAAACTCATTATATCATTTACTGAAGAAACTTCACTCGATTTTTAAAGTTACCTCAGATTTAGTAGACGTGAATGCACTTAAAAAGCATGTTCAGAGTCACTTATAAAAAAGACTTTTGATGACCCATACGGTTACCATATTTTACTATCATACTAATGACATTGAGGTTGAGTAATAACTTGACGACATCTGCTTACCATAATGAAAATAAACCCCCACTTTGGTTTGGTATGCTTTACAATTTAGAAAATATTAAAACTGGTAATTACAACTGATATAGATAGTCAAATTTATCGTTAAACTGTTAGCAGAAAAAGATATCGTGGGAGCTTTATTAGTGGCAAGTATATGGCAATAAAATGTGAAGCAAAACCATGCACCAGTAAAAGCATCAGAATACAAGGGATTTTTTAGATTTATCTTAAATGTCTAACCAGCCACATGTAAACTTTAGGTAGTATATGCAATGGAGGGCTCTAAAGACTACCTTCCATCAACCTAACTATATACAATTTGTGCATATGAACATTGTGGAGCACCTTTGAATAATCTGGTAACCATTTTCAGAACCGGTAATAAACGTATGTTTCAAATCCTGTATATGTTCTAGGTGTCAAACTTGGATACCACTATGGAATGTGACAACAAAACTAATTTGAATCAGGTTAACAACAGCCAGATGCTACGTAAAAGCAATTGACTCAAATACTTAAAAGACAAAAGTTGCTATAAAAATAAACATAATCAAGGAATAAATGGTACATAGTTTTTTTCAAACAGAGTTACCTTGTAGTTCAAGAGTTTCATCCCTGGAATAAAAATGCATTCGTCTGCACTGCAACATGTTGTTTATGCTCTTGATTTAAATAAGTGATTACTAGGTTCATTAAGAAACGCTACATAAAAATGGAATGGAAGATATTGACGTTTACACAAAGTGGTCACTTTTCGGTCACTGACTTAGGTGTTTGGTCCTCCTTGTTGAATACTGATTGATGGCTTTGAGTGAGATACCATAATGAACTGTATTACAGAGTTCAGTGTTAAAATTGAAGCAGTTTTGCCACTCAATTCTGACGTTTCGTATTAAAGATGGCAATGTTTACGAATACACAAAAGTCCTTCAGATTTCAAAAGATATGCATTTGAATTTTAATCTAATCATTAAAAGATTAAATATACTGAAATCAAATGATGAGAGTCGAGTAAAAATGGAGTTTTCACAACATATATTCAAAGATTACTCTACAATGTTGGTGGTCAGTGGTACAAAAACCAACAAATGTATGCAGAAGTGGTTGTTAAAATGATCAATTATGATTGTCACTTGTGTTCTTTGTCTTTCTTCCATTTATCAATCAATTAACGTTGAAGTTTTAGCTCTACTTTCATAAAACCGAGAATAACGAAACTTAATTAATGTCGCATACGTGCTATCCACCTAAACGTACCAGCAATTTAAAATTGGACTGTGTAATACCTTTAAATAATGCATGATGTGTTCAGTCATAGTATTTCGTATTACTTCCTCCGTTTAGATCAAAATACGCAATTGAACAACCAAATAACACTTTCTCATTTGTAGTGTTTATTTAATTATATAATTGGCGTAGCGTCTCTGAAAGGTTTCCAGTCCTCTATTAAAGACATTTTGCTGAAGTTTATCTCATAGAAAGGGTTTGTTATCACTTACTTTAAAGTACATATCTATCCCTTTGATCCCTTCGAAAAACTTCTACTGTCTACACAAACTAAAAGTTGGAGGTCAAAATTATGTTCACTTTCCACTTGATTTTACTCAAGTAAAATTAAACTACGAAATTCTAGTCGTCGTGCAACTTTTAGATGAGGTTTAGAAGTTGAATATTCAAAATTCCTTTGGTAAGAATAACTTTTACATGAAGTCTGTTTATCTACACTGTTTGGCAATATTTTCAGTACTTTGCTTGAGCCTATGATAAATACTTATCATAAATTATACGAATAAACATGTATAACTTTTGTTATTTTTGTTTTTTAGTGATTAAACCTTGAGTGGATGTAATATTTCATAATGTATAATAAAGTATTTCTTAGTATTTAATGTCTATTCTAATAGATAGTCGTACAACCTTTTTTGATTGCCACAGGCGTCATAAGAATACAATAACTATCACTCAACAAGGTGCAATAGAAGTACTGTATTAAAAGTATTCGTTTAAGTTCTTTTTAATATCCACTGATAAATTCAAGTATTACATAATTTGGTCGTGATTATGCAAAGTCTACTTCGGTGAAATTGAATACAATGATTTACAACATCCAGGATATCGTGATTAATCAACATTATTAGTACTTTAACACAACACTGATGTCATCGCTTAACAAGTTAGTTCACTGTAAGAGTGATAACTACAGTGTAAGGTAATAAAATGTTAGTCGGGTCAGTAAAATTGCAAACTTAATCAGTGCATCTATTGCAACCCATTTAAAAATGTTTACATAGTTGAAGTGAAAAAGCAATTAAGATTTTGTGTTTACATACTCGTTCAAGGACCTAAAACAGTTTAAATCGTGTTGAAAGCCAAATTATAAAGATTATTGAATGACAAAAATGAATATAAGCGGGAAAATACGCTGAATACTTTGTCTTTTAAAGTAGAAGGCTTTCAATGACATTATTTTGAGGGAGTAACACAAACGAAAAGTAGAAAAAAGTGCTGATGACTAAACGAAAGGTTTGAACCGGTGGTGGAGATATATCCGCTGTTCAATTCCAAATTCTTTTTTTGATTGCACAAGCCTTTCGCATTCACTAGCTAAACTATGTATACTTTCAGCGATTTATAAGCAACACAAACGAAAAGTAGAAAAAGGTGCTGACGACTAAATGAAAGTTTTTGACAATTCATCTAGTCACTTCTATGAAAGAATTATCATTTTTATAACATCAGATTATTTACTGAATGCCCTACATAGGCTAATCCCCCAACCTGAAATAACTTGTGCATAAAACTGGAAATCACTAAGAATTGCATTTTAACACTGGGTGGTATTTGTGCTGATAGTCAGTATATGGAAGTATGTAGCTCAGTATTCCACCTGATAGTGAAATTCACTTGATTCTACTGAAACTTCCTGACGAGAGACCATCATTGAACCGATGAAATATTGTACAAGTCTAGGGCATTCATTGATTGTACTGAATAGCCTACAGCTTTCAACGTTATTTGAAACCTGACAGCACTGGACAGCTGTTTGTTCTTAGTATTGGACTCCTCAGCAGTGTACACCCACGACCCTGCAGGGATTGAAACCAGAACCTCTATATTCGAAGGCCAGCACGTCACCACTGAGTCACTGGTTTGAAATATAGTGGTCCATGTTTCCAATTTCTGTCAGTTCACGACATAGCGCGACCACCACCCAATTTCATCGTTGAGTATTTTTCTTCACGTCCACTAGGTTTGCCCCGCCGGTCACGACTCCTCATAAGAACTTCAGGAATCACCTCTTAAAGCTAGTCACTAGTGAGCACTGGATTCTGACCCACTGGCTCAATGGTAATGCGCTGGCCACAGAGACTGAAGGTTCCGGTTTCGATCTCTGGTGGGGTGATTGGTGCCCACTGCTTTGGAGTCCAATACTAGGACCAAACAGCTGTCAAGTGCTCCTAGGTGTCCAATATTTTTCTAACTGATATCAGTTCATGATGAATATACACTTAAAATCAACAAATTCCCACAAGCCTCCAAATTGAGTCAGTGAGAACGCTTGAATATTCACAATAAGTCTTCCATATTTTCAATTAAAGTAAATGCAAAAGGAAAATTTCATGATATTCGCTTCCAAATGGTCATCGAACAAGAACTGTTTTTCACATTATATAGCTTAGTATCTGCGCAATACAGAGAAAATATTTTGAATCTGTGCAATCAAGGGGACTATGGTCTCGGTATAGCAAGCATTTATGCTACTTATCAACAGATGGACTGAATCTCTTTGAACCTTTAAGCAATTTGATAATTGAATTCATATTAAAACTTTGTATACTTTTCTAACGAGCTGTGATCTACAAAATGAACCAGTTAAATAGTTTGAAATGATACTGAATACTGATCGTGGATATTACTGGTACAAAATCGCCACTCGACTACACACAGGAATTCTCCAGTACTGAAAATGGATTCATCAAGTCATTGATAAGTGACTTTCTAAATGTTAGAAGGACTTTGCATAAGTACAGTGGTGCACTGATTTCTATATTAATATACAGTCCCGAATGGGACAGAAAAAACTCTTACTTCCTAATTTTAAAGTGTTCTCGATCAGACGTCCGTTTGTGATAGGAGCACAGACGGAAACCTATTACTGTAATTCGCTACTTTTCTCTAGCGGAAATCAAGTTAGAAACAACGAAAGGCTATACAAAAGCCAACTGGATTTCTCATCTTTTAAATTTGGAAGTGCGCTTATTTTGCTAAACGCAGGTCTTAGTATTGTTTCTATCAAAATACTGTGAAGACACAGAGTATTTCAAGTGATTTCCACCACTGATGATAACTTAAACACATCTCGGTAGAATCAAACCAATAAAAACTTTTAGTGAGGGGGTCATGTTATTGATCGCAAATGAATTAAGAAAATAAAACTCACCCGAAACTGAAAAATGTACTTAATTTTGGATGAATTTCAAAAGCGTTTTTAAATACGAAACAGCCAGTCCTGACCGGATTTTTTGACAACAGTGGCCATGTGGAAAATAACACATCGAGTTCGAAGTCAGAAAACAACTGTCGAAATGCGTTAACTTCACCTGGCTTTTGTGGCTGAATATTTTGGGAATCCAAGTTGTCTTCACTTTTATCCTGTGTACTTTCTTTTGCTTTTAAAGCATCCTCTTTATAAGATTTTCTTCGATCATTTTGTGAATTCGTTGGTAAGCTAATGCGTTTTGCGATTGACTGTTTATTACTCGTAGTACGACTTTGTTCTGAACCCATTTTATTGTATTTTAGGTTCTTATTATTATTTTAAATGTTTATTTGCATCAGAATTCACCAATTCAAGAAAAACTCGACATTTACTATTTCTAAACAGAAACGAAGAAAAATATTTATTTAATATTTGTAAGCAGACGGGAACGCTTAATAACTGAAAAACAAGTTGTTCCGTAATGATCACATTCTACAATTTATATAGGAAAATTATTTCACATTGTAACGTCATCAAAATGAAAAATAAAAGTGAATGAAAAGTTGAAAGTCCAATCATATGCAGATTCATGAGCATATTGTATACTTTCATCCAATCAGAATTCCATTGGTAATATTTAACCTTAGGATGAGATGCTACTTTAGTGAGTGCACAAATATTTTTGTATTTAGTTAACAGTAATCAAGTGTGTTGCAGAAAAATGAACAAAGCATTCGTCCAGACTATCTCAAGATAAGGCGATCCCTGGATGAGTAAAGAAAGTACCGATGATGTTTAAACATTTCATAAAATATAGTAAATGTAGGTTTTCACAGTGACATACACGATTTCCCAGTGTCTGCATAATCAAGAAGTTGAAAGATGTTGTAGTCGAAATAGTTTTAATATCTTGGTAATTTACCTAATTATGGTTAGCAGAGGAGTCCAGGACGCACGTTTTATCCCATTTGGGACTCGTCAGCTGGGTGCACCTGCATAATAGTGAGTTTATTGTTCCCACTGAGACTGAAACCTCCTACCCATCTCCTCAAACACCAAGGAGTTATCCACTAAGCCACTGAGGCATAACCAGGTACATAATCATAACAAATATCCAACAATATCGAGGTGTCTGAACAGAAGCCCGATAGAGGTACAGAAATTCGATCCAGTTAAACAAGGGAGAATTACAAGCATGTCAACATACAGTAATGGTGAAATTCAAATAGCTATATTTTTTTGAGTGTCATAATATTCATAATGATGGAGATGATTTCTAGAGCACAGTCGGATTGCTTTGGCTTGTTACATGATTTTTGAATAAGTGCACTACTGACTGACTTGTTCGACGTAATGAACAGCTACTCCTAAAGTAAATATCAGTCCAAGAATTTTTAGTACAGCCATTAGGATGGTAAGATATGGTATATCATCACAAATGTAGGGGACAATTAAATGATTTTAATCCCATCCATCCACAAGTCAACTTACTAACAGAATGATCTGTTTATCTTATGTCTTTCTTGTTTGGTTCAAAGTCAAAGTGCTTGAGGAAAACACTAAATATGACTGAATTTCGTTGACATCCTAAAAGGCTATTTGAGTGGATAATATACAGTGAAATAACAACGTATATCGAATAATTTGATACTATCATTTTCGAACAACCTCACCTGGTTAACTAGTTCACTAGTTACTAGCCGGTCCTAAGCCCGGTAAAGAGGGAAGGTTGGGCATAGGGCTGGCAACCCAACCCCGTAAAACAAATTCAACCACTAAAGATACTTCAAAGCACAAACGATATATAAAAAATAATTACAAAATTATTCCCCGGTGAAATCGGAGAGGCGAAATGACGCCGGCTGGTGAAAGCTTTCGCGAAGCCAATCGGCGGATGTGTCTCCTCTCGACGAAAGTGAAGGTAAACGTGGGGACATGCAGTGTTCGCTCAATGTTTGAACCTAGCAAGGCTGCTCAGATTGCAAACGAGATGAGAAGGTATAGCACTGAAGTGTTGGGAATTTTGCGAAAAGCAGGCGGAATGGAACTGGACTCTCCGAACCGTCAGCTGCAGGGTCAATAATCTACTCCAATATTGTCACCAAGACGACAACCACGAGCACACTGAGTTTTGGAGTGGCTATCATGATGTCCCCAACAGCATCGAGGGCTCCCTCTCATGCAGTGGGAACCAATTTCCTCCTCCAGGATCATGACAGAAGGTTCAACTCAAAAGGAAGGAAGGTCACAATCATACAATGCTATGCACCTACAAATATGCAGAGCAAGGGAAAAAGGAGGAATTCTACAGACAACTTCAATCAACACTGGACAAAACCTCAGTTGGAGATATCAAAATCCCAATGGGCGACATGAATGCCAAACTCGGAGCAGATAACACAGGAAGAGAACTAACCATGGGTGGAGAAGCGCTGGGTGGGGTGATGAACTAGAATGTAGAATTGTTTGCAGAATTCTGTGCATTCAACGATTTGGTGATTGTAGTGAGGCAGTGTGTTCAAGCACAAGGATATCCACAAAACGACATGGATTTCACCAGATGGACACACTAAAAATCAAATCAACTTTATCTCAATCTCAAAAACGTGGAGACGCAACCTACTTGACACGAAGTCAACAAGAGAAGCAGACGTAAGCTTAGACCACTATCTAGTGCAAGAAACCTTCCAAATCAAGTTGAAAGCCTTCAAGAAAGCTGGTGATAGACCTCAGTTCAAGTACAAGACGCGGAAACTGAAGGATGAAACTACAAAGGAAATCTTCACTACAGCCATCAAGACAAAATGGGAGATATCGAGGAATATCCCTGAAGAAACCTGTGTGGAAGAAAACTTGAAGTCTTTGAAAGCTACATGGAAAGAAACCCGCATAACCGTATTAGGAAGGAAGAAGAAAGAAGACAAGGAATAGATTTCGATGGATACATGGAAGCTGATAGAGAAGGGAGGGGAGGATGGTGAAACAGAAGATAAACCAGTGCAAGGATGCTCAACGACAAAAGGATCTGAATACAATGTATAAAACACTTGACAAAGAAGTGAAGAAGAGTGCACGGAAAGACAAGAGACACTTCTACGACACATTGGCAAGTGAGGCAGAGCAGCCTTCAGGTAAGAGAGATCTGACAACATTGTATCAAATAACCAGGTTACTTTCTGGGAAGAGATCAACGCAGACGAAACCAATAAAAGATGATGACGGAAATTTGACTACGAGAGAAGAGAAACAAAGGAAACGATAGGCCGACCACTTCAAAAAGCTCTTAAATCGACCACCACCTGCAATTCGTACAGAAATACCACCTACAGCCGCTGAACTACAAGTGAACATAAATCCTCCAACAAAAATGAAAGTCCTGAACGCCATAAAGTTGCTGAAATGTGGGAAAGCAGCAGGACCAGATGGGATCCCGCCAGAAGCACTAGAAACAGACGCAGAGACAACAGCAGCGGACATGCTCACACCACTATTGCAGAAGGTGTGGAAAGAAGAGAAGGTACCTGCCCATTGATTGGAAGAAGGGTTACCTTGTCAAACTGCCGAAGAAGGGAGACCTCAATGTTTGCAAGAACTGACGAGGAATCACTCTCCTGTCCACCCCAAGTAAAATATTAAGCCGAATCATCCTGAAGAGGCTTAAAGATGCACTGGATTCAAAACTACGACCGGAACAGGCAGGCAGGCTTCAGGAAGTACAAATCATGTGCAGACCAAATTGCAACGCTTCGCATCATCATAGAACAGAGCATAGAATGGCAATCAGCTCTCTACCTCAACTTCATCGACTTTGAGAAGGCCTTTCTTTGACAGCGTCGACCAAGAGGTAATTTGGAAACTGCTTGAATACTACGGAATACCACAAACCTTTATCAACCTCATTCAACAACTATATGAAGACGCCACATACCAAGTTAATTCACAATGGGAAGCTAGCTCAGTGATGATTTTGAAGTGAAGACAGGAGTGAAACAAGGTTGCCTACTATCACCCATGATATTCCTGATTGTGGTCGACTGGACTGGATCATGCAGCAAACAGTGGGGAGCTGTGAGAAGAGGGGGATATGTTGGACTGCGGAAAAGAGCCTAGAAGATTTGGATTTCGCCGATGACTTGTGCCTAATGTCACATAAACTTGAAGATCTACAGGAGAAGACTAACAAGTTGGCAGGAGAAGCGGGGCTGCGAAGACGGGACTTCAGGTGAATATAGAGAAGGCAGAGGTGATGAAGATACCGCACCACCAACAACAACAAACTCCAGTCACCATCAATGGGAGAAACTTAAAGGAAGTAACCTCCTTCACCTATCTAGGAAGCACTGTTTCAACTACAGGTGGGACAGACGAGGATGTCAAAGTCAGCCAGGATCGGAAAAGCAAGACAGGCGTTCATTAGCCTGAAACCAGTGTGGAGATCTTCTGCACTGCACTCAGCATGTGGAACAAGATACGGCTTTTCAACACCAACGTCAAGTCAGTGCTTCTGTATGGTTCAGAGACTTGGCGCGTTACGAAAGGCATTTCTAACAAACTACAGACATTCATCAACAACTGCCTACTCTGGTTCGTTACTGAAGATCAGGTGGCCAGACTAATAAGAATAGGCGACAAGGAGCTCTGGGAACGAACCAACCAAGAACCGATCACCCAACAAATATGCACTGGAAGGAAGTGGAGATGGATTGGGCATACACTGAGAGGGCGACTGGGAACATCACGCGTCAGGGCAGGCGCTCGAGTGGAACCCAGATGGGAAGCGACGAGTTGAGCATTCTAGGTGTGGGTGACATGGAGGAGATCGTGTGAGGAGGAAATGAGAGCTTGTGGGCTGTCGTGGAGCCAGGTTGAAAAGTTTGCAGAGGACAGAGTTCACTGGATACGTGCTACTGAAGTCCTATGTTCCATTAGGAGCCCAAGGGACTAATAATAAATAATAATAATAATCATTTTCGGACAAGGAAAAGAATCATGTAATTATATTAATTATGTGTTCAGTAGCTTATTTTATCAATGAAGATGGTCAAAACGCGAAAGATTTGTTTTCTTTTGGGTGCTGAAAAAAATATACTTTGGCAAAGGTAAAATTACCTTTTATTGTACAGTAGTAAACTTGACAACTCTGCCAATCTTAAATTTGCCATCTAATCACAGTATCGATCACTGAAGATTCTTTTAGATTCCGTAGTTATAAAACCAGTTAAACGTAAATTCCATATGATTTCTAGAGAATGCAGCTTATTAGATTTGTTTATTTGGTTTATAACATAAAGTGATGTAGCATTACTGTGTTGTAAACCAAATAAACAAATCTAATATGGAATTACATTCTACCACAGTGCCCAAGTGTTACACTTATATTAATATTGGAGCTTAATTATGGGTAAAAAATAGCTTGAAGGTGCTTTTTTACTGTGAAAATCTGATACATCAGATGAATAAGTTCAAGTAGAAGGGATACGAATGATGGCTGAACGAACTTTACTTTAACTTCG